CGCCGTAACAATCACAAACTTAGGGGTTTTTTGTGGGGCACCCTGTAGTTTCACCCCTACTTAACCAGGCCGGTATGTGTTCACGAACTCTCCTATCCAGACACCTCGTTATTCGGCCAATGTATCCTGCTGCATAGGTGGAAGTGAAGGAGTAAATGCACATGAATGTGGCCTTCAACGGGAATCGGTCTTTACCTTCAGATCGTAGGAGGGGAGAGTTCGTGAAGACTACGCGTAAGTTCGCCTCGGGGAAAGCACTTGTGATCGCAGTCTTCAGACATCGTCTTATCAGCTCGCTTGTTGCATCGCCCAGGAAAGACAGTCTTATAAACCTGTCTTTCTTTTCTGCGGTTAAGGTATCATGCTTTTTGGTGCGTTCGTCAACATTATTGAGGATGAAGCTTTCTGGGCATCCATTTTCAAGAAGTTTGTCCTGGAGCTGTTGGAATTCTACTTCGACAGTTTCTGGAGAGCAGACACATTGCAACGTTGCTACTAATACCTGGACTAGATTTCTTTTTTATATTTAAAGGGAAAACCTGCGAAATTTTATGCATTGTTCCGTCAAGCTTTTCTTTCGGAATACCCTGCGCAGGATAGATCCACCCTTTTGCTTTCGTAGAAGGTCATCAAGGAACGCTATCTCATCATCTACCGCAGCCTCCGCAGAGAACTTGAGTTGTAATCAAAAGTCACTCATTAACGCCGTCCAACTGTACGATTTTCATTAGCCCTGCAATTGGACTGGCCTGAGGATGAATTACTGAAAACATGTTTGCCGAATAAACTTTTCTTATATTTTTGTCAGTACTCAAAGTGTTCTGACTTATTTCGTTGGATGGTTGTGGTACTCCTCAAAACTGTAAGGCAGGTGAAAGCGCCGGCTCATTTATCCATAGGGGAGAGGTAACCAGAAATGCGGGTAGTTTTATACAGTATGTTTCAGACTTTTTCTCTCTTCATTTACCCAATCATAAACCTGGTCAGTAGATTGGATCGGACACATGAACCCGTACTTGTACCTGTTGCGGCTGTGATCATGCCTGATCTAGGCGGCCTCAATGATGTCACACACGGTACCTCTGGGGGACAATTGACGGGAGCAGACCTTGAGAGCTTCATCTAGTCTCTTCTCCAGCGACGGAGACCGAAGATAGAAGGTTCAAGAACTGCTTCCATGTCTTGACGGGCGTTATCGAGCCAAGTCTTCAGTGGCCCTCCTCTTCGACGCCTCCAGGTGGGCTGTGGTGCCGGATCGAAGACAACATAACAAACCTCATGGGATGAACGGTGACAGAAATGGTTCGGTTTCTGTTAATGTCTCTGATGATGAATCCGCAACGAATATCGAAACGTCAGGCGAATAAGAGTATTGTCCCAGCGATCGAGTCGTCAGCCGTCTTTCTTGAATGGCCTGAGGTATCCTCGCGATACGATCGCAGCGCGTGCGGACTGTCTCATTCGAGATGAAGTCACTGTGCTTAACTCGCAGGATGGATGCGCGCTCTTACATGGCGCAGATGACGCATACATACTCGATTGAAGTAAATTTCTGCAGCACATCGCCAACCGTCATTGTCTGTCGCTACGGGTCAGATATTTATTCAAGTAAGAAGGGGCACATGCCAATCTATCGGCTTCCCAAAACAAACAGGTCCCGTATGGGCGGCAAAATCCACAAACATGCTGAATTCGATGAAGTTACCATTAGCTACTGTGACTTGGTCGACTTCGGCCTGATATTTGGTTGTCTTTTCGTAATCGAAGATTGTTTACACCAGGAAGACAAATGATCAGTGTGTTCTTGTTTCTGATTCCTTTAGACGTGTTAAATAGTTTTTGGCGGACCATATTGAAAGCTGTATAGTCGCAGGTATGAGCAAAATGCCCTCAGGTTCTTTCAGAAATGATCCTGCTCTCATTTAACTTCGAAATATTGGTAACCTTGTCAGCTGCATTTAGCAGGGCTTCTGCTATTTCTTTGAGAGTTCTGGATGCAACTGAACTTGTTTTCCTACTTTTTTGGAAACCCCTGTCTCAGCTGCTTGAACAAAGAGAAGCAATACTAAGGTTGGTTGGGGATAGCAGGAAGAGGACGAGGCAATACTCGATAATTACAGGCGCTGCTTCCTTGAATTTTGTGTAATTATATGATGGAATTGATCTCATACTGAGCTGCTAGTAGTCGGGTATTATGTAGTCACCCTCGTTATTTCCTCCAATCCAGAATAGACGTCCGTGAACGTATTACCAGCGCGTATTGAAGGCAAAATCGGAATATATGAGTTTTGGATCAATCCGGTAGTGCTCCTGAGGGGTTAGCATCTTGACTGGCCTTCCGACTCATCCGTATAGTTGGGTGGCGGCAACTTACGCGGTATCACCACACGCACAGCGTATACGCGGATCGATAGTGCGGTGTGAGAGAGTCGTCAGGGTGGCTACGACGGCTCCTCCTAGCACATGGGATCAAAATCCTACCGAACGATCGGTGACCAGTGCTTACGTAGGTACTCTTGTTGTTTTCTTCAGTCCCAACCAAAGGTCTGTTTTAATGTCACACCCAACATCCCTACGCTGTTGGGGGCACGAGCGA